AACCTTGGTCATTTTGGCCAACATAGATGTCAGAAAATGATTTTATTGGCAAAAAATGGGTGAAAAAAGTTGCATTTTAAGCCAAAAATCGAACAAAAAGAACGCGTTTGGAACATTCGAACAACCATGGAACAATGGAACAGCGTGTTCGATAACCGCGGTCAATGACCCTAGCGCTACGCACGGAACACCCGAGATTTCCAAATATGGGCATCCGCCCTCGTATGACACGAGAAGAGATCGGTGGATCAATTCAGCGGTCAGTTTTCATTTTTCTTTCGTTAAAATACGGTCATATGAATACCAGTCTCGAGTAGAGAATATTGCATTGGGATTTTGGGTTCAATATCCACAAGTAGGACTGCAGATTTCCACAGAACGCCGGCGACTTTGTGTAATTTTTTGCATGTCACCGCCGGCTCAAATAAAAAAAAAACACTCATAATTATATAATTTACACTAGCTCCTGACTTGATAGAATCTCGTATGTATAGAGATTTAGGCTTGCTGCCGTTTTGAAAATAAGTAAACAGAATTGTGTTCATCTGTAACTATTGTCGACTTTGTAATGTGGGTGCGGGGCCGGGGGAGGGGGGCGTTTGTTTACGTTTATTACTGATGACATGGATGTGACATTACATTTTGTCGTTTTGTCAGACAGTTTCAATCTTTTTCGGGATAATACAGTACAGTTCATGGGATAAGCATCAAATCGGGATTCATCGGGATATCCCGGGATTTTTCGGGAACCATGTTGACTAAGATTTTTACAGACAGACGGTGCGGCGCATGTTTGTTTCCAAATTATGCATGATGATAACATTAGCACAAACGGCTAGTGTTTCAAATATTTCTTTTTTTAATATCGAAATTTTAGTGGCTTAATAATGTTTAGAACGATAACAAAATAATACAACCTTCTTGGTACTAGAATTTCTGTCTGACCTTGCGATGTGGACGGCCCTAAGTACTGCTTTTGATGTCACCCGACCCGCGCTATCTCAGATATAAAATCTAACACATCCACGTGCTATGTCGCCAGAAGTTAATTTTTCTCCTAGATAGGGGAGGTCGACGCACGGAGCTGCGGAAGGGAGATTAAACATTATACAAAAGAGGGGGGGGGCGAAGCATAATTAAAAAGTTCTTTACGCCTCTTGGCTGTGTTTGCGATCAGCGACGAACAAGAATTGATACATTTCTGTGACTGGGCCACGTTGCCATAGAAACGGCACGCAGCATAGCTATCACCGCGCGGCGCCCAATCACAGCACACAGACGGGGACCCGCCCACTGGCTGGGCGGCAAGATTTCAAACTCAAAGGCTCGATGCTCCGCCCCAGAGACTCCGGCCGCCTGGCGATTGTAGCGATTTTCCGCCTCAGTCCTGCAAGCGGCATTGTATTTTTTCTCATCCCGATTTCATTCCAAAACAACGTTTTCACAAGTGACATCGAGAACGAGAATGCTTTGTTTTTTTTTTCCACCGGAAGAATTTTTGCCAGCCGCGTGGCCGTGGAAGTACTTGCTTTCAGGGTAATACGTACGTCAATGGACGTGGTCGGATCGTTGATTGTTGATGCAAGGGTTTATTTATTTTATGTGTACGTGTTTGCATGGGAGGGGTGAGACGCTTGCCGCGGGATTTTGATGTGCAAACGTTCCTAATTTTCGTAATACAGAGACTACTTGACGCAGTCTGCTTATGAGAAGATGAGTAGACCTAAAACAAGCCAATTTACTACAAGATGTCACAATGAAATACAACTACTACTACAGCCGATACGCCCCACTTTTATTTGAAGGTTTATAAACTTGCCGAAACTCACCGGAGACGAAGGGGTTATTAAAAATTCATTCCTGCTATTTTCTTAGTTTTCGTTAGTTTTTGCAAAGGTACGAAAGTAACGGGTTCCTTACTGGGCGCCCAGTACGGAAACCATGGAGAAAATAGCGTCGATACTCGGCGCCCAGTTCTGAAGAAACCTCTAAACTGGAATTCCAGTTCGGAACGGCGTTATTCCAGTACTGAAGCTTCGTCAGAACTGGAAGTTCAGAACTAAATCTTGTTTCGGAACTCGTTTTCCAGACCTGAACGCCCGTCGGTACTCGGACCCCAGTACTGTGTTGCGTCCCGGCTACAGGAAGGCTGGTACAAAGGTCATTCAGTACTGGTTACCCAGTTCGGAGGTCATTCAGTACTGGAAATCCGAGTGTCGATGTCGATGTGCCGATCTTCAACAGCCCGCTCTTCGTTGTTAGCCGCCTCAGTTTCTCTCGTCTCCCGTAGACGCTTCCTGTAGGTGTATAGGTGGTCTCGTTGTCCTCCGGCAGCCGTGTTGAACGCATTATGTTGCGGCGGCCGTCCGGCAGCTTGCCCGGCTTTACTACCGCCCGGCAGCGCTTATAAGTTATAAGCCGGGCTATACTCAGGCCAAAGCCGCTCCGCGTTTTCCAGTACGGAAGGAACGTTCAGTTCTCGGTTTCCAGAACTGATTAAGAGTTTTCCAGTTATGAAGTCGCCTCAGATCTGGACGCCCAGTTCTGACAGAACTTCCGAACTGGAAGTTCAGTTCGGAAGGCACCTTCAGTACTGAACACCGAGTACTGAGGGAGGAACCCGTTACTTAGGTACTTTTGCGTGAGTTTTTCGCTGCACAATAGCTTTGTAAAAATGTAGCAGTTCACCTATTACCGCGTGAGGAACGCGTCATACACAATATACACTCCTGTGCTATCGGTGAATAAAAATTTTGGCAAAGTTGACTGACGTCAGGGTGCTCCACTTGGCCCTGCCCAGATCGCCCGACAGGACGTAAAATAAACATTTGGCACGCCGCCATCGGTGACAGGACCCGCGGTAGACTTGGAGATCTCGCACCACACGCGGATATCTCGCGGGATTTTTCGGGACGCCTATCCCGAAAAATTCCGTATCCCGATGATGCATATCCCGTGAAGTTATCTCTCTAAACATAATAAGGATAATCAGTTTCTGATCACATTTGAAATGCTTACTCTCCTGTTTGTATCCTCATAAGACTCTTAAGATTGGACCTCTGCTAGGAAAGGAAGCAGAACTTGGTCCATGAGAAACTGGGGAGGAACCTAACAGAGCTGAACCCAGCCATCCACAGAAGGATACAACACATCACAACCATTTCTAGAAACACATTATATCTCCATTTTGGCCAGTAAATATTCATTATGTATGTTAAATTTGCATAATATATGTAACAGTTAAGTCATGTATAGCTTTTAAGTATGTATGTATGGTTTTATAGAGTGTGTAGTTCCAATATTTTACACAACTGTAGATTTTCATCATCATTGCAATGATTTTCATATAAAATTTCAAAGAACAATTATTATAGAAGTGGGTATATTCACTGGCTCAGCGATCAAAAGAACAAGTAAAACCCAACAAAACTGGCTTGATATATATCTTATATACTGTAGTATAAAGACTAAAGTGTACTGTAGGAATTAGTTCTTCATATCATTGTATATCATTTCGTATGATATACGTATTTACAATTAGCCTTCTGTCATGTATTTGTAATAATAATAAACTTATCATCATTATTATTTCAGCCTACGTCCTGTTTCCTATTTACAAAAATGTAATAAGGTAGTGAGATGAGCGCAGCAAAGTCCTTTGTAACTAAAGCTGTCAAAAAGACTCGAAGTTTACTTGCAGTCTGCAGAGGATGTCATTGATTAAAGTTACATGCTGTGGCCTAATTGCAAACATGGTAAGAGTGTGTGCAGAGTGAATCATTGGTACTGTGGTATGTAACTATATATATCCTAGTATCTCCTATACATGGCACTACAAGACTAGTCTATGGTAATGATCTTTGAGTGGCAGACGGGTAGACTTGGCCTAACAACGGCAAAAACATTCAAATTCCCCAGTTATAACGTTGATGTTACTCTATAAACAGCATATAAAAGTCAGTAATATAAGCAAACTATCCTTCTACCTTTCCTTTCCTAATAAAGGTATAACGTTAAATCGTAGGCAAGACCATCCTGAGGTAAACATATTGCATTTGCTTGCAAATGTTACCTTTCTAGTTCTTCACTGCATCAGTTTGGATAGGCTATCGCGTAAGCTATATGATAATAGCGTTAATGGCCCGCACTTTCTCGGTGAATATGGTGTGATAAAGCCTTATCAGTTGCTAAAACCACCTCATAAAGCCACCTCGTTCGCTGCGCACACTTGGTGGCTTTATTCGGTGGTTATAGCAACTGACAAGGCTTTATCACACCATATTCACCTCGGGGCGGGACATTAACCCTTAAATAATTGTTAACGTTCTGAGCTGGTACCACCACAACCAACATACACAAAAGAATTAACAATGAGACAGCCACACACACCCAAATAACATTGGCTGTGTTACCATGGAGATAATTATGATGCGTATTCATTGAAACCGACAGACTGCGACCGTTGGCAAATGTGACTGATTGCCGAGTCAGCATTGCAGACAGATATTCTTCTTCGTAGCTTCGATAGATAAATAGACAAATAGATAGACAGATAGATAGATAGATATCGATAGGTAGACAGACAAATAGACAGCTAGGACCTAGTCTCCTGGAGATTAGCCAGGGCTCACCACCACTGGTTGCAAACACGAAGCTGAAAAGGTACAAAGAGAAGGTGGTTATTTTTAGGACACCGTACGACTAGTCCATTAAGTTCGCGAATACGAAGCTAGGTGGGTGGATGGGACCGCTCAAGGAGATATGAGAGATAACAACGTCTAGGATTTTTACCGAAAAAAAGGAAGAAGTAATCAGGACAAACCGGATAGTCAGAGAAATCGGTACTTCTTCCAATGGGAGACAAAACATAGAAAATTATATTTTTTGGTGGCAGAATCACCGCTACCACCCCCTCACCTTCAACATGGAACAGTCCAGTCTCAGGTACTTTCCCAAAGTTTCGGTGCGTCACGCACAGACTAATTTAATTATCACAGACCCTGTAAAGGGTACGTGCGTAGCTACTGCACTACTCACTTATAGGTCCCCCTTTTTATGATATAACGCCAGTCCAGCAGTAAAGATGGCTCCAACCGTCTCTAAACTATCCACGGCCTTCCCGGCGGATGAGATGGTCGGTCTGCTGAAGTTTATCGACAACAATATACAGGAGATGGTCCGGACGCTTCGGGGCCAGGGAGCCGAAGTCAGAGGGAAAGTGAAAGCTTTGATACAGAAGTACGTGGACCTGATCGCGGACATCCTGCGAGAATGCATGTATTTCAGGTGAGTACATGAAAAATTGATTCTGGAGGTGTTTTTTTTAACGCACTTGATTGCTAAAGGTTGTAGCAGACTGATATTGTACTTGGGGAAGTCCGTAGTGGCTGAGTTAATTACTTCCGGATATGGCTTGTTTGGAGCGGCTGGGCGCGTCGCCGTGTGGGTTTGTTTGTCTGGATAGAGTAGGTTGACAGGACGTGGGATGGGGAACCATTGACAGGAGGTCAAAAGTCTCAAAATCTGGCCGGGGCCCAGCAGGAATCAGATGTCGACATGGGGAATTCAGAAAGCTGGGGATTGTAAATTTCCCCGAAGTATGAAGTCTCGACAACTTAGAGGACATTGTTTGTCGACCGATAAACATAAGGTCAAATGTGTCGGCCATCGTCATTTGTATATGTTCTTCACTTTTAGTTATGTTTTACCGATGGAAACCATATTGTTTTTACTAAGTTTCCTCTTCTTCTTCTCCAAACACTAACCTCTGACCTGGCCTTGCAATCTTATAGTAGGAGGGATTTAGACTCCTGTCTGACCATATATATGAATGCATTTGAGTAAGAATTAACAGAGCAGGCCATGTGCGAAGGAAAACTTTGTGCATTTGCTTTGCATGTTGGATGTTTGCGACTTATATGAGTCGTCTCTTTGGCAGGAACTTTATCAAGATCATACAGAGGAATCTGGAAGGCATCGAGAACATCCTTACCCTTGTGTTAAAGGGTTCAGTAAGCGAGATCCTGGCAGATCTCAGGCTGGAAAAGTACCTGTCTGTCTTCGAGAAAGAGGATCTGATCAACGCTGTCCAACTGATGCAGACCAATTTTGACATCGAACAAGTAAATCTGCCTACCAAGTGGGCAAAGGAGGCGATTCATGATAGGATTCAGGACTACCGTAAGTTGTACAATGTAATGCTAGTACATATCAGAGAATTTATAGGAGCTAGGCCATATATGGCGCAATTTCCCCTTTATGTCATAATTAGGGAAATTCATGGCAAAATGGAAATATTGAAATATTCTACACCTTCCATATGCATGCATGCATTGACATTTTTTGGTTAAACCTCTTAAACCTTTGGTATCACCGTAGGCATTTGTTTTTCTTTATAATTATATTTCAGTCCATACCATGGTATGGATGAAATATATTGTGTTCCCTCATGTTTCTCCTTCTCCTCCTCCTTCTCCTTCTCCTCCTGCCAAACAGTCAAAGGGATTCACTCCGCCATCCTTCAGCCAAATGACCTGAAATTTGGCATGGAGGTAGAGTGGGCAAATACCCCCAGACTTTTTTTTCATTTTTTTGAAATATGCCTTTGAAAAATTTTTATGAAGGTTTTTTGGGGCATTTTTCGACGAAAAATGGATTTTTGGATCCTGAGCCCTGGTATTACAACCAAATGATATGACATTCGGTATAAGGGTACCTTGAACATGTGTCTACAGAATAGCAGTCATGTATTTGGCATACACCACTTCCAAATGACTCATTTGGGGGACTTTAATGGCTATTTTCAGCAAAAAAAGGGCCAAAAGTGCTGTACCCGTTCCATGTTCTATCTAAAGAATGGCCGGTTCCATCCATGGAACACGTGTTCTATTGCGGGTTACCTGAGGTCACATTGCACCTAAGTGGTGCGTAATGACCCACACATTCAATTTTATGTGCCTAAGACTCAAAATGTATCAAATCTCATCATTGTTAGTTTTTGCATACCTGTTATAAGATTAGTAAAGCTTTCGAGATTCAAAGTACTTGTTGTTGCATCTTTGTTCTCATATAGCTACTATTTAATTCATTTATTTGAGAACCTTTGCCAGTTTTGCACTGGGGTAAGTTTGGAATAGTCCACTTTTGCGTGGGAGGGAGATGAACTGAAATATGCTGTATTTGCTCCCAAGCAAATGTCGGCCTTTCTAGTTTACGTTTGCTTTTTGATGAAAAGACATGGATGCAAATAACCTTTTATATGCAACGGCGTCATAAATGAGTCTTGATCAATTCTGTTACTAAGCTATAGCTGCAAGCTAAAGGAGCATGCCTAGATATCTTAATGGATCTTCTTTTGTTGTTTTGTTTTACTTTTAAGGTCTTGAGCTGATGACGGTTAAGGATCGCATCCAAGAAGTGAAGGAGGAGGGAGAGAAGTGCCACCAATCCTGTCAGGAGATCACACAGAGGCTCAAGATGTTCTTCCGGGAGATTGATGAGATTCAGGAAGCTATCATAAGTTTGCTTGGTGACCAACATGCCGAGAAAGGGCGTCTAACCGCTAAGTACATGACAACTGGGGGGATCGCGTTGACGTGCCTTGTGCTTTGCGTCACAGGAGGTGCCCAAGCTGGCTTGACGTGCCTTGGAGTAACACTTGAAGGTGCAGCCTCAGCTGTAGTAACAGGCACTCTGGGTATTGGGTGTTTTGGAGCTTCTGCAGCAGTCGTTGACATCGGTGGACAGTTAAAAGGCAAGTATTTTCTTAATTTTATGTTTTGTTTTGGAGAAATTGACACATTTAGGTCAATAGGACGGAAAGTGTATATTATGCATGTGGTATTGTAGCCAATGAATTGTGGACCACATCATAATGAAAGATGGTAAAACACATTACCAGTCAGAGTAACCAAATTATTTTCTTATTCTCCTCTGAACTTCAGAGGTGGAAAAGATCAAGGTAGCTTTAGAAGACTTGAAGGGGCAAACCACCTCCATGACGGAAGATGCAAGCAAGCAGAAGATCGCTTGGCAGGAAATCCAGACCCAAGCAGAGAAAATCGTGCACTACATCGACAACTCGAAGATGGAGAAAACCGCAGATGCCCTGAAGGATCCCAGGCGCCGTACTCCAGTACAGGAAGTACTTGACGGTGTCCATGACGTGTTGGAAGATGTTGCGATCCTCCAGGACAACATAGTCAGGTTTAAGAAGGAGGCGGCGAGTGTACAGGACAGTCTCGTCAAGGCGATACTGATGAAGGACACGGTGAGTAAATTCAAGGCATTTCTATAGATTTGATAGCCCTTAATAATGATACTCTTTCAAAAAAATTTTAACATCATGTATGCACACATGCATGCATACTCTTTCTTACGCATGTCTATGTATACATTTCTCGTCAACTCTGACTTAACACATAAGTACTTATGATGATGACACTGTGTGAAACAAAAAAGGGATCACCTAATATAATGTCCACGGGATCAACCAATATTGGCATCTAGCACGGTAGCACCTATGGCAAGAAAATTGCATGATATATATCATGTTTTAAAAAATCTGTTCATATTTTTCTGCGCAGACTTGATCAATTATCACATATACCTAGTTGTAATAGGAAATTCAATTCAAAATCCGTAAAATAATGAGATAAATTGCTGAAGCTCTAGACTATTTACCAGTACGAATAAGAGTATTATTTCGATGTTTATCCCGTATTTCCATGTAATTAGCATGTGTAGCAACAACAGCTCCTACCTATATAGAATAAATTGTACTACCTACTGTAACAGTTTTTTCTTGTGTCATAAAATGTTTGTGAGATTGTGGAAGCTAGCTGGGATCTCATTTGCTTCCACTTGGCTTGTCTCACAGGATGGCGTGCTTACATCGCCCGGAGAAAAATCAACATCCCTCCTCCAGTCGCTAGGTGACTTGATCACCGGCACTGTGAAAGCACTGAAGATGACAAGTGAGGACGGTCGTGTTTCCCAGGTCATGGCATTGAAGTCTCTGAAACTGGAATGAACCGTACTGCAGGGGGCATAGTAGGACTCTTAGTATCTTGTCCAGTGTCAGCAGTAGAACATTAGCCTGGTATCCAGTCTATCGTGGTTAGGCCGGCAAGCTGTCTTCGGGGTTCATAAATAGCTTTCCCCCGCCCAGCTCAACAGACCGCCGTGTTACGCCGACGTGAATCAGCAAGATATTATACTGACATCGTGCACAACCTACGGGGGAACCTATATGCTAGCTGAGTCGGGCGAGAAATAGCTTCACTCCCGAAGAGGTACCAATCACGATAGACTGGACACCAGGCTAGTAGAACATTTATTGTGGATTAGAGTTTTAAAACTCCGAGTCCTAGTCATGCTAACACAGCTCTATCTGTGTCACATAATCCTTGTTGGATTACATAATTTTGATATATAAAAAATAGAAGCGACCACATAAGCACCGCATTTTAAAATTCTTTTATCAACTGCTGGTTACTGATATGCAGATGACTTTCTAAGTCTGGGGAGTAGGGTCTTCCTGAAAGGAACCCCAGTCTGTTTTCGATCAGTCGTGTCTTTCTTTTTATTGAGAAACATAGAAACTTGAAGGACACAGTGGTGGGAAAACTCTAAGGAGGTTACTAAACCACCACTGACAAAGAAGAGTACTCAAGTACATACAATGACAAATAATAATAATAAACCTGCAGCAAGTAACAAAACAGCACTGAATGGGCGACATAAGCGATAACATGTAAAAAGGATCATAATGTTTTGAAAAAAGAAATTAATATAGTTTAGTAGGAAGTTGAACACAATTAGTTGACAGATTTGAGTGAACAATGTAGAATTGAGTTAAGGCCATGTCTGTTGGCTTCCGGGATCACGAGAGGTGAGCCCTTAGTAAGAAGTTAGTACAAGCTTGTTCAGACAGATTTTGCACATTAGCGTGTTTGTGTGTACGTTCGCTTATAACTCACGGTACCTGCCACAAAAATCACTGACCAATTGTCAATGTATTACGATTTAATGATTTTGAGTTACTATTATATTGGTAGTTGATTGAATGAATTTCACTCCTATATTTAGTTATCATTCTATGTCATATTATCTCCTAAGTTTTTAAGTTTAATATTATCTCCAAACTTTTTAAGAGTAAGGTTTATGGGTTATGCTATCATCACAAAATTTCCAGCTAATATAGACGTTAACATTATGTCATTGCTAGCTGCTCACCGTGTCACTTATTATTGCACGTAGCATATAAATGCACCCTTCCTGTTAATGTGATGTCTGAAATTGAAAGCAGAAAGCTAAACAAAAACACATATATAGATCTATCATACTTCTGCCTGTTGGTTTACAAATAAAATTTAAATGAAGAAAAAGAGTTTGGCAATCTCATACCTCCATGATATGTTGAACGTTAGTGCTTTTGCATGATCATGTGGTGATGACCACCTATAAATAGATTAAAGTTACACCTCATTCTGCTCATTGACAAAATTTTGATGCAAACTATTCACAAGGCCCCTACCTAGTAACATACAACACACTGGTGAAATTATTACATGTGTATGACAGACAAACAGACAAACGCAACTATAAACATAACCTCCATGTCATTTCATGGAGGTAAAAAACATTCTGATGCGCTAGCCTCCTTATTGGGCGGCGGCATTGTTATTTCTGTGTCAGCGACGCGGAGGGACGATTTTGCCGCCGAGGGAGTTTTTGCCTCTCAGGGGAGAGACGGTTGGAGCGGGAAACCTTCTCTCCATGGCAAATACTCCCTCGACGGCAAAATCCTCCCTCCGCGGCATATTACTCGCGTCGCTCACCGGAAAGATAATGCCCCCACCCAAAAAGTCTGCGAAGGAGGCTAGCGAAGCGTCAAGGTAGTAATTAAATCTTT